TTGTCGACGAATCTATAAAAAGACGCCAGTCACTTGCTTCATAAGAAATATCGCCAATCTTATTGAGTAAACACTCAATATTATTGCAATAAACTAAATCATCCTCTCGAGAGAAAAATTTTCTAAATGATATGTCTCTATTACGATAGAAAGTTATGCTAGTTTTCGGAGCAAGACAGTTTTTCTCTTTGAGCCGAGATGCTAGAAGCTCTGAACTCTGTTTTGACAGCCCTAAGTCCCGCACTAAGTCATTTAATTCATTTTGATCAAAAGTTTCTTTGTTTCCATTTATATTATAATCTGATTCCTCGGCACTGTCAACTTCTGATGATTCACCTTCATATTCTTCGCTAGCTAAAGTATTAGTGCATCCTGACGCTTCATGGTCATTTTCGGCATCACCTACCTCAGTTGCAAATTTTGATTGATCCGAGTATCGAGAATGGTCAGAATCATGACTTTTATTTTTATCGCTCAAAATTGGGAAAGTTACTGATTGAACATTAGGATATTTTATAAGAGATTTACTTTTATTGTTATACCCCTTAACTACAGATAAGCAAAAGTAGCAATCTGTATGATGGTTTTGAGGCTTTCGCCAAATCATGGGAGAAGAAAAGCGTTTGGTTGTTTGTCTCCATTTTTTCATGTTGAGACCTAAGAGACAATAAGAACATATATTTTTCGGAGTCCAAGAGTTATTAAAACTACTTGTGGAAATACCGAAACACTCCTCATATTTTTTTCTAACAAGATCTGTAAAAGGCCTTGCATATTTTGCTACTATAAATTCTCCACAAACAACGCAAAATAGATTCGGACTGTTTTTACAAGAAGACATTTTTAATGAACTTCAAAAGAATCAGTTGAAATTAATCCTCGTCGCGGTCGTCTTATATGATTAGACCCAAATCTGTTGTGGGTTTACCCTGCCGAAAATGTTCGATTAAAACCGATTAAAAAAAAAACCGAACCGGTGTTGGATCGTCCCCGCGGGTGGTTTTTATCTCCTGCTTGGCTGTTTTCTGTTAGCGAGAAACTGTGGCGCCTAGCGGCGACGTGCCTAACTAACGCCGCGCCAGATTGATTCGGATTGACAACAATATGGATTAGAATTTAATGATTTCGGATTAAATATAATGCGCGAAAGCGATATTAAAACCGATTACGATTCGTACAGAATTAAAACCTATTACTTTTTAATCCAGGCGCGGATTGAACCGATTAAAAGTGATTAAAACTGATTAAAACGGATTACATTTTAATCGGTTTTAATCGAATATTTACGGCAGGGTAGCTCACACCTAATGGTCGCGAAACGAATCATGGTAAGCCATAAAATATAGACCTAGTATATCTGTGCATTTGAGAAGTGGGAGTAAGGACTCTCATGTAGAAAAGGATCTATTTTATTTTGTGGGTGTGCGTTCTCTCTTTCTTTCTCTCTCTCTCGAGAAAGGAAATTGAAAGCATAGACATAGTATAAAAATTTGTTGAAGTAGATATCCTATTGTGAATCAAGCTTGAATACATATATTTTCATAAATATAAAAGCAACATTAATGTTGTAATAGAATGAATACTACGGTTGAAGTTCCAAGACGATTTCTTAAAAAATCAGAATTTACTACTATGGTCCGCCATATTGCATCCGCCATCTTGAATTTCGGAATTCTAATGTTAATTTCGTAATCAGTGAGTCCAAAAACCTTTATGTTAGAAGTTTTAAAATGATCCGTTGGAAAACAGTAAAATACGCTACATGCGCCATATTGAATCCGCCATTTTTGAAAAAACCTAGGGTGATGGAGCAAAACGGGACCTGGATTCGGATTCAGGGGCTCAAAATACATACCGGAAACCTACTCCGGTCCGAGTAAATTTTTGAAAATTTTTTTTTGTAGACCTGTGTAATTATTTATATTCAGTATTAAAAATACTGGATAATAAGTAATTATCAATGATTCTTAGTATGATATTTCTATAAGGGTTATTAAAACAATTTATTCAGATCAATTGTACTTTCGTAAATACTCTATTAAAAAATACAAGACAAGTTTTATATACTCTCTACAAAGGAAGTGATATCAAGAGGTTACATTCGCTAAGTGCGAATGATTAATCATTTTTTAATTTTTTTTATAAATTATATGTGGTTTTGATTAAATCATATAATTACAAATTAAATATGTTATTAATATATTAGTAATATTGTTAAATTAGTATAATATTGTTAAATAAAAAATAAAATAATTACAGAAATACAATAATATAAAAAAAAATTATATAATAACTTACAAAAAAAACCCTTGGCGTACCTTTTTTTTTTTTATAGATGAACGGTTCTCTTATTTTAATGATACCTATATAGCAATTAATATCAATTAAAAAAATCAACATACTTATATTATTGGTATATTTAATTACGATCTAAACATGCAAAATGTGCTTTTATAT